AGACTGAAGCAGAAGTGTTTTAATGCAGCCAGTATAATGTTTCCATATCGAAACTGCTACTACTCCAGCTAATACACTCATGTTCTCAACTTACCTCTACTCTGCTTTTCTTTTTTTTTATTCGGCTGCACTGGCTTACACAAGCAGCTGTGACTCTGTGGTTATTATGTTTCTCCCCCTTTCACTGATGTCTAGCTAAACCAGTAAGTTGATTTATGAGTCACACAGAGCAGCTGTGCCTCAAAGACGCTCCCTTGCATAGCTGTTAGTTTCCTTTACAGCGCGCTCCTACCTGAGTCGGCGTCGGTGACGATGTCGCCGTACAGTCGGCGAAGGCGGCTCCTCAGCGCGGCCCCCTCCGCCCTGCCGCCCTCCTCCAAGCTCTGCTCCAGAGTCGCCAACACTTCCTGAAAGTACCGCTCGATGTCTTCGCCCATGTCCTGTCCCAAAACACACAAACACATGGGCTGAGCATACATACTGGCAGGAAGATAAACATATACACATCAGGTATTCATAGCAAAGAGGTGAAGGGTCACAAGTGTGTGTACGTCTGCTGAGGTGTTATGTTGGGATCAGCGCCAAGAGACATTTCCACCGCAGAAACAACAGCCCCTTCATTCAGGATGCTCGACACGATGAGTCAAACAGCGACTCTTAAACACATTTTAGCTGTGTACTAATTAGCCTGACAGTTCTAGATAATTAGATAATGCTATTTTCATCCTTATCAGTCATTCTTTAAGTGGTGGTAATTACTTAAAAATGTCCCAACATGTCTTGGAGTGACCATGAGGCTTTGCACATGATGTTTCTGAAACACAGAGGACATTGAATTCCTCCTTGAGGGGCAACGATAAACCTCCGCAAATACACACTCACATGTAGCGAAGATTTGTTAATAATGCACTGGGCAATCAACTGAACAAATGGTTTCGGGGGACATTTTTGGACAGACTTTAAAAGAGTACAAAGAGGAATGTGGAGCTACGTAAGAAAAAGTTAATATTTACAAAGCTGTCCATAAACTGACAGGACATCCTTCTACGTTCTTGTGATTTTGAACATTCCTGCGTCAAAAGGAGCGGCTCACCTACAATAAAGTGCCTTCGTGTGTTTATTTACTGCATCAGCGTAAGCCACATGGTCATGAGACTCTGATTTTCTATTCCTGTTTCCACAAATTACCGACTGGAATGTCATATGAATCAACTCTGATAGGTTTTATTTTCTGAAGATAATACTGAAAAAAATGAGTGAAAAAGTAAATGTCCTTGTATAACCTCTACTGGATGAGTCTAGTATCAGGAGGTCAGGCTACTGAGTGAAGCCAATGAGCCGCCATGTTCTACTCATCAGACGGGTTAAAACAGACATATTCAGACATACAGTCGTCCTCAAATGTATTTATACCCTTCCATTAAAGAAAAGGCAAAATTCACAATAGTCAATCAAATAACTAGAAACTGAAAAAAGTAATAATAAATAAAAATTTGCTAAATGATAATTTAGTGAAATAAGACATTGCTTTTGAATTGTGGTTAAAAAGAATAATTTTTTAAAAAATCTGGACAAATTAGAGCACTTTGCTGATGAGCAGTGGGACAAATTAAAAAGACAACAGGTGAAGAAGTCTGATTGAGAGTTACAGAAAACACTTGATTGCATTGATTGGCTCAAAGGGTTGTTCAACAAAATACTAGTTTACGGGTTCCATCATGCTTGTTTTTTTTTTGTTGTTGTTGTTTTTTGTTTTAATATTTCTGTTGAACCACACTCACATTCACACCTACGGACAATTTAGAATCACCAATTAACCTCAACATGTTTTTGGACCTTGTGGGAGGAAGATGGAGAACCCGGAGAGAACCCACGCTGCACGGGGAGAACATGCAAACTCCACGCAGAAAGATCCCAGGTGTCCTCACCGGGACGAGAACTGGCGACCTTCTTGCTGCGAGGCAACGGTGCTAACCACTGAGCCTCCCTGTAGTCCGACTGTATTAAGCTGTTTTGGTAAATAATTTTGTCAGACCAAGTGGGTAATGTCCAGCCTCCTTACATCTGTCCACATTAAACTGAACCATGGCAGGTCAGTTTTACTGAAACAACAATTTTGTGTGAGATTTGTGAAAATATTAGGGGAGCAGTCAGGTGTGGGGGAAAGTCACATTAGATAACCAGAATTATGGTAAAATGTGAAAACATGAGCACAGTCCAGCACTGAGTCCAAAGTAAAGTTTATCAGAGACCAAAGTAGGAAAACCCCGTCATCAGCTGAACAAAATGGGGCAAACAAATCACAGCAGCAGTGAAGAGAAAATCAAACTAAATAAAGAAGGCAACAAGTGACCACAAACAGCCAGAGCGGCCCAGTTCTGCTGACCTTTAGGGCCTGAGCCAGTTTGGGTCCATGGCACTGATCTGCTCCTAAAGCAGCCTGTAAGGAGTGCTGGATCACGCTGCGCATGTGATCTGATGGATTTACAAATCCACCTGATGCCTCAAAATCCTCCTGCAGGACGTGTATCAAGGAGTCAGAGAAGACTTTGGGGTCAGCCAAAATGAAAACCCTGCAAATATGAAAAAGAGGGCAGTTTGACTACATGCAGCTGTACAAGAAATCAAAGCCTTTATAAATCATCAGCTCTGTCAGGCTTTTATTGCACTTTTGGGCAAGTAGTACATTAGTTATGACTCACCTCTCCTGAAAGGGATAGTGCTCATTTTTTAGTCTCTGCTCAGCTGTGACCATCCTCTGGTACATCAGACCTGCGGATCATACGAACATTCACTGATTGTGCTGCGTATTTTTAAACAGTTTAGCTAATTTTAAACTGCTTGATGAATGGACAGCTCACATAACACTGATGTAGCCATGACAAGATTTTTCATAGTGTGACGGCCTGTTACTTCACTTCCTTGCAGGAGAACAGCGTGGCTACTCGGCTCTGTTCTATAAGCTGTTGTCAGTCAGTAAATATCCACCTCGCCGGTATCCGCTATATTTCAGGCTGCATTTTTTCTTTTCCTCTTAACACATTGGTTAACAATAACTTTTTGTTTTAGTTTAAGATACATTTCAAAAATATTTAAAGCATGGGAGCCTCGCCTGTTTTGTAACAAGAGTACTCTATGACAAAGAGATAATTATTGTTTTGATCGACTGGTCTTTTCGGGGAATTACACAGTCACAGCATCGTCACAAAAGGCCACTAAACAAACAGCACCATCATCATTAGCCTGTAGTGCTGGAGGTGTCGAGATTCTCAAAGACGATCTAGGAGCTCCTAACGCAGGCTGCTCTAAAGTCTACAAGCCCTGCTAAGAATGATTCAGTTCAATTTAGTCAGCGAGCGGAGGTGAAAAACAATACCTGGAATGAAGCGTTCGGCTTTTATCTGCCTCGTGTAGCTGAGGCCTACGGTGCAGTACGGATGAGGATAGGTCAGTAGTCTCTTGCAGAAGTCGTACATCCGCTTGTAAAGTTCATCTGGAATGTAGGCTGTCTGGAATTCAAGCAAACACACACACACACAGATTACACAATGCATAGGTAGCTAAGGTAATTAATACTAAAAATGTTCTCCCTTCAGGTTTGCACTTCCTCGTTGACAACTGTTCCAGGAATTGAAACCGAGTCAATGAGGTAATATGTCAGTTCAACATAATGGAGATTTTTTTTTTTTTTCCTCATGCAGCAGTGTGGCGTCTGGTGTCATTCAGGGTAACCACAGGTGTTCAGTCATATGTAGTCAGAACCAGGTGCACACCCGAGATGGACAGGAGACGTGAAGTGGAAATTATTGAGTCAAGTTTATACATGAAACTAACAAGTAGCGTTAAAAACCTAAAAAGGCAGTAATGTGGCAGAGATGCAGTACCTGAAAGACGGCATACATCAGCGTGTGGAGCAAAGGAATGATGAATTTGCGAGAGTCCCATCTTTCAGCCTGCAGAGAAAACACACACACAGAGTCAGGGCTCCGCTGCAACTCCTTGACAAACACATTTTTTGTAAAATAATGAGTTGCTGTGAGTTCAAGGTGACTTCCTCGTTCCCTCCTCCGTGAAAGAAGAAAAAAAAAACACTCAGAATGTACCAGAAGTGTTCCTTGAAAATCTGGGTTTCTGAAGAGTACCTTTTCCAGCTCTTTTATCAGGACCCACACCAGAGACAGGCTGTTGCCAGGATTGTTTTGAACCTTCTTATGAAGTGTCCACCTCAGCATTCCTGTACACACACACACACACACACACACACACAAGCCATTAGGAGACTCAAGGTTTCCACAGCACTAAACACTTCTTCTAAATGTGTCACACTTTTCTCCATTGCAGTGCGAATCCAAAATATGTGTGATGACTAACAGCCGAGCAGCTCTCGTACTGCTGACATGACTGCATATTCCACAGGGTGATTAATGCCGCCTAATGCTAGCTGGCCTCAATAAATATTTGTTCAGGGTGGAAAAGTTTATGAGGTGGAATAGTTTCGGATACAGAAAAACCGGACAAAATCAAAGTCAGTTTTGTAGCATACAGTACACCTCTTTGGACTTTAAACTGAACCGCTGTGTGTATAAAAGCCAAGCCTCTGTAATAAAAACCACAAAGTTGGCGTCTTTGCAACTTTGTGATGAGCTTCATACAGACAAGACTCAGTGATATAATCAGATGATATTGCTTGTAAGAGTTAGGAGTGAAGGAAACTGCAAAGACTGATAAAAGATCATCACCCCCGAACTAAGAAATCTTCCCATGTTAATACTCGGCTCAGTAAAAAAAGATCATTTTATACCTTTGTTGCCGTGGTCGGGCGGCTGCTGCGTATCTGTGTCTCTGGGCAGCACAGCCTGGATGCTGCGGTAGAGCTCTGGCTCTGGAACCGTGGGGGAGCAGCCAGCTGAGGATAAAGTCAAGATGTCGGAAGTTAAAATCTGAATAACTGATGGAAAGACGACGACAACAACATGCAGCATGTGGCACCAAAAGTGGGAAAGTAATTCATTTTTGTACGACTGAGTAGTGTGTGTTTATCCGAGCTGCATGTACCTGTTGGCTCCATGCTGTACGCACTGCTCGAGTTATCCCAGGGGGCCTTGTTGGTCATGTCTCACGCACATTGTGGGCCCATCAACTGCAATTAGAAAGAACACATAGAAAGGAAGTGTCACATCGGTGATCAGGCTCCAAGTGGGTAGACAGCCACAAGCTCTGGCTGACTTGTGGCGGCAGACGCGTATTAGGTGCAAAATGCTTCAGCGGAGCTATTTAAAACTCCATTCTCTGTTCACATGCGGTCTGATATTAATGCCTGTATCTCTACGTATCTCTGTACGATAGACTTCTAGCGTGTGAGTGAAATAACAGCGTCTCTTGCTGACATTTCTTTTTGAGTAGTTACTGCTGGGAGGTAAATCAAGTGTTAAATGTTCCCTCCTGGCATGAAAAACAAAACCAAAGCCACTTTTCAAAGGTTTTCAAGTGACGCAAATTCACCGGAGAGGCTATCTGGAACCACTATGACTAAACTGATTGCAGCGCTTGTTGCTTCATTTCTGTTGTATAATTTCTTTTTTAATAGAACAGGTTCAGTAACATCAGCGTCTACTGAATCATTGTCATGAAACTGCTACTATTTATAGTGGCCTAGCGTTGGGGATAAGGAGAAGTTCTGTCTTTCAAAATCCTCCCAAGTGTCTTTTCCATCAAGCCCGAGGTTGTTCATTTTGGCCTGAAAGTTTTGCAGTTGTTACCGATTCAACTTGAGGATATGTTTTTTTTGGAGGGGGGGTTTTTCAATGAAAAAATGTAAAAATTGCTTTGGGTTTGAGGTGTGAAAGTCTACCCACACAGACACCTACTCACACACACACCACCAATCTCCCAACGTGGACGGATGGTGAAGAAACAAAAGAAGTGGTCTCACACTAACTATGCCCACTAGTGTTAAAAAGCATTACTCAAAGTCCCACACAGGTTCATGAGTCACATCTCAGACCCACACGGCACGAATTTATAATGGCATTTGGCCACATTTACTTGAACGCAAATCCCCCCACAATAGCCCTTGTTAGCTCAGTTTCACATCCTTTTTCATAAAAGTAGCATAAATGAAAAGCAAGACCAGTAGAACCAGAACAAACATTAATTCTCTCTGATATCTTTGCATCGACAGACTGATTCTTACAAGTACAGAAAGTGATGGAAGTGATGGTTATTGCTAGGCTTTGCTCCTTTTTGGATAAATTTGTAAAAAGCTCTGCCACTTTCCCACAAACAAGAAAACCATAGTGCTGAATATCACTTAGATTTAATATCAGAAATTAACCTCGAGAAGCTAAAGACACACAGAATAACGACATGTCCAAAATAGTCCAAAACTAAATGTTTGAAGAATTAGTTCATTTCTTCCAAACGTATTGTCGTACCACAGCAGGGAATAAAACTACCATCATCATCATCCATCGCTAACACCAAGCAGTTAAAAGTGTTACACGCGTAAAATTGAGATAACATCACATAAACTTACCCTGTTCCACACAGGCACAAACTGTCCTCCAAGTCGTTTACCTTCACACATTACTACTCGACTGAAACATGCGTGCGGCAAAGCCAGAGAGAGAGTGAGAGCGACTGAGAGGGCAAGCCACAGCCAAGTGAGAACAGCGATTCATTGGCGAGCGTATTTCCTCTACAGGTTCGGGATACGCACTGTTTGTGTGTCGGCGGCGAGGGGGAGTGGTGAGGAGGAGAGGCAGGGGAAGGTGTTGGAGTAGCTGCTGCTTCACTGCTGATTCTATTTGAACTTGTTTCTGCATATTTCTAAAGTTTTACTCCACTTTTTCATACTGGTTTCTCTCCTTCTCTTTCACCCTTTCTCCCACACACACACACACCATCGCAGGTCATTCCACAGTGTACAATGAAAGGACTTAGTGCGGCGGATTTAGCCTTGATCCCACTAAGAAAAGCAGCACTTTTCAAACATAGAGTTAACAGTGCTGCCTCAGCAGCTGAACACTGCCTGTTTGAACCACACGTTTCCGGGTTCCTGTCATTTTTTCGCACTCAGCCTCACTGCCTTTCATTCAACTCTCCCTACTGTTCTTTGTGTTCATCTTCAGTCATCTATCTCATTGTTTGAATGCACGTAACACCTCGAGAGTTCTTTCTTCTCGTTTCTGGTTGTTGCTCTTTAAAACAAACACATTAGATTGTTCTGACGTAAAAATATAAAGCAACCAGCCAAGCATGCACGCACACATGCATGAAAAGTCTCATGTGCATGCATGCATGAACTCTTGACCACACAGATATCACTCGACCACCTTTTTTTCTGACCTCTTGTACAGAAACTATTGATGCAGCGCAGGAGCTGACACACACATCGCACTTCCTTTCTGTCAGAATGAGTGGGCAGATGGGGCTCTATATTTAGACTGAAGGAGAGACAAAGCGGCACATAGAGAGCGAGAGAGAGAGAGAGAAAAGGAAATAGAGTTTGAAAAAGCCTTAAAAATAGATGCGCATCATTGACAGCATTTCTAAATAACTAGCTTGGAAAATCCAGTCTGCAGAAAATGTGCTGCATCTTGTGCGTGCAGAGGTCGGATTAAAAGAAAAACTCGAATATGAGACGCTTTTACGGTCAGGCCATTACATCGCACTGAAAAAAAAAAGATGTCTTTGTACAAGATTCAATGTAATTAGGCCACAAATATTTGGTATTTTTGTCGACTTGAGGGCGGTGAACCCTGTTGGTTTAACGGCGTCTGCCCTCACAAAGTTAGTGCCTGTGCTGAACGAAGCCCTTGTTTGGTGTCATATATTGAATGCATCTAATGTAAACAAACACAACAGGAAATGGACTTTTTTCATCAAACAAAATCATGTTAAACACGTCGCACATCGAGACATTTGCATGCACTCACGCGATGCTTGTCGTGTTTTAGCTGCACGCAGAATTGACGGGAGATGAAAATGTAAAAAGTATTCCACCAATACCATAGTGGTGCAAACACAAGTAGCATCTAAAATGTGAGATCACAGCAGCTCTAAACCTGTCAACCTCTGGTCCAGTCTTAACTTATGTCCCTTACAGCCAAATAGGTACATTTTCAGCAACATCATCAGTTATACTAACTCACACAGTTGGATCGGCACACACTGAAACATCCCTAAAATCCCTCCAAGACAATCCATTACACTGACTTATTTAATCCCGTATGACCCACATGTATTATTAGCACACTGCTCATTAATAGAAAATAGGTCAACATGCTACTACAGGTGCCAACGCCACATGCCAATAAAAGCCAACTTCCCGGACAAGTGCTGACTTTTTTACAGTTAATCAGTTCCTGCTCTAAGTTTTGGCTACGACACGCATCGATCTGTATCTTGTCTGCAGCCGTCGCCACACGTCGCGGCGGTCACCTGAAGCCTCAAACAGTGCGGCCGAACAGCAAACAGGACCGCTCGCTTCCGTTCAGGCGCAACTGCAGACATCTCAGAAAACAGGAAGGACATGACAGGGCTGCGTGGAAGTGCGTTCAAAGAGCAACAGAGTGGTGGTGGTATCTAGGTGATGCAACGGAGGTGGGGTTGCTTGACTGGAAATCCCCAACCTAGGACAGCACAGGGTCGACTGATACAGATAGCCATCACCATCTGGAAGAACAAAAGGAAAGCACCTGAGCTGCTCCCTTTGGTAGCGAGCGAGTAATACCTGAAAAACAACCCCAGTGTGACGGCGCTTCATAATTCTTGACAGAAAAATTAATGTGTTAATTGGGCTGACGGTAAAGGCAGCCAAATGTTTTATTTTTTCTCATCTCAAGGAAGCAAAAAATAAAAAAAAATGGTGCAAACCTTCTCGTCTCCGTGAGAAAGAAGAAGTTTCCAGGGAGACAACTCAACGCTGTGAGAAATGCACTTGCACAAGCAAAGGTTGCAAAGAAACAGATAATGTTGAATTCAGCAGGAGCAACGGGGAATATCAATCAAAGTGATTTCCTGAATCAACATACTGGACAATATGAGGAAGTCCTCTTGGACCGGTGACTGTGTGCATGTTTGAGTGTATCTGTGTATAAACCTGCCTGGCTTGACTGACCAGAGATTATCATCCCCTCAAGATGTATAAACATTTCCATTATATTGCTAAAAAACCTTCTGCAAACAGGTGAATATGTCAAACACACAAAAAAACCCCACAAAAAACGGTTGCATATGGGAGGAGTTTGTGCACAAGTCTGCACAGAGAAGAGGATGTATGTGTGCCGCCTGGAGTATTAGTATGCTAGATCCATCAGGCAAGAGGAAGACAGATGGGAAAAAGGTAGCGATCCAAAGGGGGTTCCCGAAAAAGTGTGCGTTTTCACATGTGCGCTGCGGCCCCTTCTGTGGGACTCATGGCGGTGAGAACTGGGTCACTAGGTTCATCAGAGGTCAGCTGAGGATGTGACATTCAGTCCGGATTAGGCAACGTGCAGCACCCAGGGAGCTCTGCACAAAAACGATATTGTAATGCAGATGCAAGCAGACGCGTAAACTACACATGCTGTAACTTTTCATTAGCCTCAAAAACTTCTAATTAAGTCGTTTTTCTGCTTGTTCGTAGCGTTGCACTGCAGAGAATTCCATCAGGCTTTTTGGGGAACTGTGATGAGATTCATTCTTTATGCATGAAATATTTCTAAATTCAGACTCACTGAGGATAGACGGCCTTGAACAGAGACAGCATTGTTACTATAGATACAGCGGAGGCTTCAGGCAGCGGGCTCATGGATAACCAGAGCGCTGTGACGACCAATGAGTTTGAATGAATTATATTTCACTGCATAGCATGTTTGTAATATATATGGCACAGTGTCAGCTATTCAATCACTTTCATTCAGTTTTACAGGTTCTTGCTGATTTCTTTTTTCTTTTAAGCTAATTTTTGGCCTTTTTGCCTTTATTGTATAGGACAGTGAAGAGAGAGACAGGAAAGTGGGGGAAGGACCTGCAGCAAAGGGTCATGAGCGGGATTTGAACCCATGGCCGCTGCATCGGGGACTGTAGACCCTGCACATGGGTCGCCAGCTCAACCGGGTGAGCTATAGCGGTGGCCCAGTTCTTGCTGATTTCTAGAGACAACTTGGAGAAGAAGTTGCCAACTCCTGTTTGCTTACATGTCAATCTACAAATTCCTGCTTACACTTTCCAATAAAGTCCATAAATGTTTTTCCTAATGGTTTGAAAACTGGTCCTTTTAATGAGTTAAACTGATTCTCCCTGCTGCTAGTGCAACTGTTCAATTAAATGCAATTCATCTTCGGTTTGCCTACTATTTATACCACTTACTCGAACTTGTGCTTGACTCCAGCGAGCACACACAAGTACAGGATGTACTATGTTTGCTATAATTAAGACATTCTCCGACCGAATAGTCTGGACATTCTAAAACTGACGCATGTGGAAGAACAAACACTGTTTCCAAACACGCTGAGGGGGGAGAAAAAAAAGTGCAAACACAAATGTGAGTACTCCTGTGAGATCACCAAACTCACCATGAAGCGGATCTTATTTAGCCACTGTTGGCGTAACGGGGCAACGGTGTATCATAGCTGCAAACTGTCACACGAGGTCAGCGGGTGTAAAGTGATCCGACTGCTTGTTGCACAGGATGTACCGAGTGCGTCACATAGACATGATCAGAAGCACAAATAGACCCTCACACACTTGGCCACGATGGAGCCGCTGCTCTCCGAGGAACCCGCAAGCATATGACTACGCCAAGAAGAGTTGCCACTTATTTTTGTACTCCCGACAGTATAAACAAAAGGGTGGCGTCTCAAACCGAAGTCTGTGGTTGTCTGTATTTGGAATATGTGGAGTTAAGGGTGTTTTGTAATAACTTTAGGCAAGGTTGTAATTTTACCTCGTGGGTGAGGTTTTGTCGGGAAAATGCAACCGTTGTCTGCCGACAAGAGCCTCGCACACAGGAGTGAAACCTCTGCATAAAGTCTACAGGCTTCAAAAGAAAGCTCTCGTAGTAAAGCCACCAACTATTAGCAGGTAATTATCTTTCTTTTAATTGCTTTCTCTATAAAATGTTAGAAAATGTAAAACTAATTCTCATCACACTTATACAGCCTGAAATGATGCCAGCTTTTTGTTTCTCCAACGGCGGAAATCCTGAAAATATTGCACAAAAAAAAGGTGAAACTAAGAAACATTTGCCATTTTGTTTGAGAACTGACTTATTAATGAACCAGCTACGAGAATAGTTGCTGCATCAGGGCTCCAGACTGGTCAAACTAGTTGTTCAGTTGATGTGTGTTAAAAGACAAAGTGATCTGTAGCTTATTATTTAAAAAGAAAATGAGGGTAGAGGAGGCAGACATCACACCTGATGATCAGAATGCAGGTGAAGGCAGAGAGACACTGACATATGTTGTTTTTTTTCCCATAGAAAAGATTGCATGCAGTAAAAAAAAAAAAATCCCTTGGTTTCATCTTGGGCAGATATGACATTAGAGTGCCCCAGTTTAACTCTTTTGAAAGTCCTCTTTGGTCACACACCTGTCTGAGCACACCACAGCCCTCCAGCAGCGTCTACCGCAGCCTGCAGTGGGGGGCGTTCAGGGAACATCAGTAAATTGTACAGTCTATCGAAAAGAAAATGTTCAGCAAGTGATGCCTGCTAACAGTGAAAAAGTGAGTCTGTGTAGTTTTCTGTCAATCAACTAATCAAACCCTTACGCTGGGTTCACACCAGATGCGAGTAAAATCATACGCATGATTGATTTACATGTAAAGTCAATGTGAAGACGCGATTAGACGCGCGTAAACGTCCCGAGGTGTGAATCGCACGATTAGCGCGTTTAACATGTGAATGAAGCGAATTATTTGCGCGAATGAAGCGAGTGAACTCAGTGCATACACGCGTCCAACTATGCACGATGAATTCGCGTCTGGTTTGAACACAGCATGAAGCCACATTTAAAAAGCTTTATCTGTAACAGCATTTTGGTCATTAACAGCTACAAAATTCAAAGGCAAAATAAACAACCTGGGACCCTTGGCCTCTTTGGATAAGAGACACCTGGGAGAATACAGGAATACAATAAGACCTTATGACTAGGCCAGGATGAGATCCGACCCGCTCTAAACAACAGTCGTAACACAGTAGCTCAGTAAACACTGATGATATTTAACCTATTCTAAAAAATTCTCAACTGAGGTGTGTCAGAAAACTTTCAGGACTGGTGTCACAAAAGATATATTCCAAATCCAAACTACAAGTTTTCCCTTTCGAAGTAATTCCCCTGGAGTCTAACACACTTCCCCAGCCTTCTCTGCTACGCCGCCATGCACTCCTGGAAGGATTCTTCCGGGCTCCTCCGTCATCACAGCCATCTTGATGTCGTCTTCAAAACGGGTCCCCTTGATGACCCCCTTGAGCTTGAGGAAGAGGAAAAAAATCCCACAGAGCCAGGTGGGGTGAGTAGGGAGGTTGCTCCATCTTGAGCAGGTGCGTTGTCATGGTGAAGCAGCCACCACTTGTCCTGCCACAACTCTCGCCTCTTCTCGTGCACTGAATGAAGCAAACGCTGCAGGATCTCTGTGTAGACCGTCTGAAGGGGAAAACTCGTAGTTTGCAGTTTGGGTTTGAAATAAATCTTTTGTGACACCAGTCCTGGAACTTTTCTGACACTCCTCGTATTAAATTTGATGCAAACTAAATGACGCAAAACAACTCCTCTGCACATTTCAGTCACCACGGTACGATGTGTCTTCTTCCTTTAATGCCTCATGCTTGGAAACTTCGGCACCGCTGGTGTTCAAAACAGATAAATAGTCTGGTCCTGGTACAGGGACCTCCAGGGTGGATGAGATCTATTTGAGCTTTAAAAAAACCCTCAACTCAATGTGTGTCAAAATTAACAACCGAGGTCACTGTAAACACCAAATTTTGTGGTTTGGTATTAAAGATTCTGCACTTTGTTTACAAGGCATCACGTCAAGGAACAAGTCTGAGCTAATCGGTCATCTGACTAAGCTATCAGATGAAGCATATGAGTCTTGTGTAAACACAGCCTACAGACATGGTGGAAACAACAGCAAACCGCTGCCCACCCTCAAACCCCAGATCGGAAAAAAAACAACAAAACAAAAGGGGTTTATTAAGTTGCTTTTCCTTGCAGAACTGGAAACTGCTCGACAAGTCTTTACTGACAATTCCTAGTAAATTTCGTAAGTTCACAAGCATGTCATGAGTCAGCGAAGTTTGGCACAATTAAAAACGAATCAATCACAAAATCCTGGCAGAGTTTCGGCTCATGCTGGTAAAGGAAATCTGATGCCAACTACCTCCGCTTATCTTTGCCAACTTCAGCATTCCAACTAAAGGCTAAACACTTCCTTGTAGAGCACACATATAACACACTGTGTCTGTGGGCAGATGTTGCCATCATCTGGGAAATCCCTCCAAAAAAAATGGGCCCGAATGTTACCCTTAAGTGTTTGACATTTTGTGGAGAACTAAGATGTCTTTGTAAAGGAAATTTCTCTATGACGGCACATGATGTTGACCCTTCTGGGGTTTAGTAAAACCTTGTTCATTCACCTGTCTATAACTATTACATAACTATTCAGTCAATCAGAAATTAAACTTATTTATTGGTTTGTTCTTGTCATCAATTCCACCCTTTTATACCAAAATTATTGTCTACAAAAGGCTGCAGAAACTTTTTATTTTCTTTTTTAGCATTTTTTCAGTCAAACAAACGCTGTACCACTTCTTAAAAAGATCCCCTCCTGCTACAATAGTTCTTTTTAACCAAATAAATATAGTTTCTTATTGATAACACAAAGTAAAAAAATACAAGAGTCTTCTTTAGTGTCTTCACCGTCTTGGTTACCGCCCCAGAGGGTGTTTTTGGTAAAGCCTACGTGATTGCTGACAGGCCAATGACAACTTATTCTTTCATTGGAGCTGTAACGCAGGTTTAATTCCATCTCAGCTCTCGCTATCGCTTCATCTGGTGTTGTTTTGCTCCGTTACGTCACTGCAGGCATTCTTCCACATCCCTGAAATTGCGTCTGAGTGATTTGCGGCGCGGTCAAAGGGTATTTCAACATGGCCACCGCACTAATGAAGAGGTTACCATCACAATGGAGATCAGATGAAACACAGTGTGGACTGTAACCAGTTTTCCTCATTAAGTGTGTTTGAATTATGATCACTGATTATTACTAGTATTTACTGTTCCCATATGCTTTTTATTATTCCCCCTAGAGTGCCGTCCAAAACAAGATATAAAAGCCTCATAGGAGCTGTTTTCTCATCCGCCTGGAGAGCCTCACCCAATAGCTGACTCTGATTTTGAACCATGAGGTATTCAGATGGGTGTGAAGGGTGTCAACACTCTATTTGGCCAGTCTTTTCTAGATTTACACAACCTAGGAGGACTTAATGCTTCCATACTGTGTGCTAAACCACTTCTCGTGAACAGAAAGACCTCCTCACACAGGCGCAGACATACAGTACACGCCGGAGCCACCCTGCATCTCCTCAAACCCCAAACTGGTACCAGGAAGCTGAGATCTAAAACAAGGAAGCAGGAGGAAATGCGGCCGTGCTCTTAGGCTCCGATAGCCACAACAGAGAGCCGGGGGGGGTGGTTTCATTGAGATCAGGCGCTGTTATCAAAAACTTACTATTATCTCAGGAGGGGGAAAAAAATAAACCGCCGCCCCCGTGTCTTCCCGTGTCACAGGCCATGATGTGTGGAAGCTTTTGGTCTGACTTGCACGTACACACACACACACACACACATAAAAGATTTTGCAAAAGAGCAGCTGACAAGAGCTGTGCAGATTCTGGTGAGACATTTGGGGTCAGGTAGCAGACTCTCAGTCAACCTGGGCTTTGATAATGGACCTTCACCTGTCATCCAAGAGGCTTTTTCAGTTCATCCTTACCCCAGAATCTATTAGATGAAAGGTGGCACGTCCTCAAGAACCCAAAATAGCATTGCTTTTTACAGAATCTCTTATCTACATGGTACAGTTACTGGCATACTAACAGTACACAAGATCAGATAACAGCCTGCAAATCATTGTGAAGATCAATTGAGCCACAGCCAACAACAAAACATCCCTTTAAATAGGAACTCAGACGAAAAGAGGAGCAAAAACATCCCACAGTGACTTCAGTGCACATCTGCATGCAGGCATGTAGGTAGTATGCTAACACAAATAGCATCATCTGCAACATCAGCTAGCAAGAGTTTACAGTCGGCGACACTCGACACAAAGTGGACAGTAAACGATAAAACAAAGATGTAAAAGTGTCTGCAGCGGGTTAAAAGTTGACATTTTTGCGTGTGAGAAAACTTACCTGAGGTTAAGTTGAGCGGACGGCTCCATTTGACTCGGTGAAGTGACTCTATCATGTGTGTGTGTCGGTGAGAGTTTGATCCTGTCATCTGCGCGACAAGTGAGTCCGAACCTCAGGCCACGCCCACCGAGGCACGGCGACCAATCAGAGCGCAGGACCTTTATCTACATAATCTGTTACTGATGGAGTTTCAGAGTTTATATTAGATATTGTAAGTGTAATACATTATTAAATATTTACTGCATCTAATATCTGATTTTGTATGCTCATCCATGCATATGTAAGTTGCATTTTAATGCTGTTGCTGATGAATGCTTCTTTATTTACAAGAATGCATTGTATTTTTTTGTATTCTTAT